CAGGTCAATGCAGTGTTTGCTGGGAAATAAGTGTAATAGCACTAAAGTACTTTGACATATGAAGGCTGCTGTTCTCAGTTTACTTGAAGCATGCAGGCATGATGTCCTCCACCTCATTAGAGAAAGCAACCTAAGTATGGACTGGTTCTGTCTGGAGGATGCATACACTCAAGAAGTATGCCTCATAACTTTATGGAAGAAATCTTTTCTGTTTCAAGTACCAGATATAGTGCAATGGCTGGCAACAGTCTATTAAAAAGCAGATTCTGGGAGATGTATAGTTGGTCAGAAAATTAAATGATGGCACAGGGTAGAAAAGGCAACTAACTTTAAGAGGCTGTACATTATACCCATTGTCATTTTTTCAGGCAAGTAAGTTTGCTACAGAAAAGAGCATACAAAATGTGTGATACACCCAGAACTGTAAAAGTGAAGCAACGCTGGGAACAGCCTGCTAGCGTACGGATAAGAACAATAAATGCAGATTCTGTAATGGAGGTTAGATGGCTTTTAGCTACTAGGAAGCACTAATGGAGTGAACAAGAGTGACGTTTAAATCATCAGTATCCAGGTGCTTAGAATTAGGAATAAAGCAATTAGGATTCAAAGGGAATAATTATCAGATTTAACAAAGAGACCATTTAATATTTTTCACCATGTCATTACTCCTATTTAATGGTAGGGGAACACCAAGGAGTTAAAATGCATTGTGTGATTAGATAGTACAGTGAAATAAGTCACAACAATTATAATTAAAAAGTAGATAATTGCCACAGTTACTGCAAATAACATCGAAGATGCTATTGCTTGCCCCTATTCTTTCCACAGGAAGTAACAGGCAATTGTGTGTGGAGTCTGCTGAAAATATATTAAACGATAAATGTTGTAGATGTAAAAGGCATGAATGATGCAATCAGTGTGAACTGCTGCCCCAGCTTTGTCATGGTTATTTGGGCTTGTCACCTACTTCGGATTTTTCTGATTTCTTTCTATTCTTAACCTCTTCAGCTCTTACACATCATGTTGACTTCAGTCTGCTCACGCTGATGATGCCCAGAGCAGCCAAGATCTGTTCTATTTTCCAGATATTCTTTGGAATTGAGTGGAAATGCTTAATTGGTAGTTAAATGTGGAACTGGGGGTTTCCCAAACTAAATGAAGAAAACTTGATGAAACTAATGCCCCATTTCCAGACATGAGAGATGTAGAATAGAAAATTCACTAATTGTGAAGAAACATTCTAATCCTGCTAACTCTTTTAAGTGACTATCAAAGAGGAGAGACTGTTCTTTCTCTTGGAGGAATCAGACAGCTAAAAATACAAAAATGAACCTGCTACCAATGGGCCAAGAGCAAACAGAACAAAATTTAGTGCCCTAATAATAAGGAAAGTAATTGCTGCTGAATCAAATTTCTCTCTTGATAAGATTTCAAAAACCACTAAGTACATATTACCCAGTGATGTGTGCATTCTTGGAAAAAGCTGCTGTGAATCTTCAAGGCAGCCCAGGCTCAAGTGATGTGCAAAGAACCTATGGTAATGATGATGACATTAAAAGGTTCATAGAACCAGTATTAATAGCTAGAAGCAAGATGAAGCACTAGTTTTTCTGCAAGGGATCATAGGCAAAAACACAAAGCTAAGAAGAAAAGAGTAAGTGAATTTAAAGAGCAGCTGAAAACAGCAGGTGAACTCTTCTATCTACAGTCACCTAGAAAATAAGAAGAGGCTTAAAGAACAAAGACAAGTCCACACTAAAATTCTGTATGAATTAGAATTCTGCCAAATAACTCCATATTAGGAATTATGCTGAGCAAATATAGCAGTAATCTTGAGACCTTGCTCAGCATTTGATGCCCACAAGATGGTATAATTACGTTATAACAAGAAGCATATCACACAGGCGAGAGGATTCCTTGGCATATCATCCTAGAACCACACAATAATTCTGACATTAAAAAACACTTGTTCTAGTACAAAATAACTGAATTTAAAGTTAATGGATCCTTTCATTCAGAAATGAAGCTATCTTATATCGACAAATCTAATAATTGCAAATAAAAGTCCAGTTTGAGCACTACATAACAAAATGAACTGTAGTTTGAATATTTCCATCTTTTGTGACTTAGCATTGTTTTCAAGTGTTCCATTTCAAACCTTTTGTAAAAGCAAATATTGCATTTAAGAAAGAATAATAATTTGCAAAAGTTAGATGAGTTTTGTACCTTTTTGGAAACCCAAAAACATACTGGATGCAAGAACATGAAAGTGAAATCCCTCATAAACTTGTATTAATCAGTGAAACTAATCAGGCTAATTTCTGTCTGTAGCATGAATGAAAACAAACACAAAAGCGAATTTTAAATATAATGTTTCCTTTTATATTTTCACTAGTTCTCTGTCTTCGCAAACAGCAAAGATATTCTTTAAAAGTGTAGGATCTTACTAACGTTGACATTGTCCTTTAAGCAAATGTGTAGGACAGAATGGATGGGCTTTGACACAGCAAATACAGTTACCAACCGCATAAGCATCAGTGAAAACAAGTAAATATTTGAAAATAAGGTATCTCAGTGAGACTTCTTCTGAAGTGCATTTTCAGGATTGGATTCGAAAGAGAAGAAATGACACACTTGCAGTCGAATTCACAAGAAGTAGAGTTGAAGTGCAGGATAGTGAGTCATCAGGGAGTTAGCTTCAGAAAATGCTTCATGCAAAGAATGATGCAGAACATTTGTCCTGCTGGCTGAGAAAATACGGACTGCTAGAAGAACTGTAATCAAAGAAAAGCTTGCTTGGAAGCCTGCTTCCGAAAAGATACTTCTTAAACAATTCTTTGCATCACCCAAAGCTGGGTAGAGAAGAAAATAGAAATGGGTTAATTAGGTGAAGAAAATACTAGTGTTGCGCACGTACTGAAGAACATCTGAGTATGTTACTGCTTTTCTATAATGACTGATTAAAATAATCTGTTTTTTTCCGTTCACTATGACTGCTCCTTTATGCATCATTAGGGAATGGAGATTTATGCCTGCAAGTATTTGCTGGGCAACAAAAGGGGAAAGTAGGGGCTGTTCAGCATGCAGCAGAAGAAAAAGTTAACAACAAGATTCTACTAGCCAGTTTACACAGTGGGCTTTGCCCACAATGGGCTAATTAACCTTAAGAAGATGCAGGGGGGTAAAAATCCATCTCAATTGGCAGTGCACTGTCTATGCTATGGTATTAATGATTTAAATTTGTCTCAAAGAAGAGATATTTAGTAGAAATCAGAAAATTTGAGAATTTAATTATTATGGACCAGTTGGCCTGCAATAATACATTTGGTATTACGAACAGGACAATTTACAGGCTCTGAGGTTGCATGATACTAGCAAGTTAGAGAGTACCAGGGAACATTTCCCAAAAACTGAAACTAAACCATCTATAAAGTGAAACAGTAAGAATGGTCACTGGCACTGTTTCGGCCTGGGCCAACTACAATTCTCCTAAACAACTCCTGAGCACAGTTGAGAGGCTATCATGGGTCCATGACCATTCCCAAGACTCACTTTGCATGAGGACTTCCTGTTTCTGAGCGTAAAATAATGTAATAATATCTTCCCAAGCAAATTTCTTTTAGTAGTATAGACAAAGCCTGGATTTTATGGAGCCCATTTTACCTGAAGGTCAACTTAACCAAAGCTATTAGCAAAGTTATATGGAGAAACCATATCTATAATTTTAATGAACAATGACCAGCCATTTTTGGACCTGGACACTATAAGCCATTAAGAAGCAAATACAGAAAATTTATACTTCCTTTATATACCCTCTCTGAGCCAATAACTGACAAAAGCCAGAGGGCACTTAGCCAGAAACTCCGTTGTGGAGGGAAAGCCATTCTGATCCAATGAACAGAAAAACAAGATGCTTTGACCACCTCTTAGGGAAACAATAATATGATCATCATCAATCAAAGCAGAGCTGGGTAGCAGAGAAGACTTTGCTACAATCTCAGTACATCTAACAGCACTGGTGATTAAGCCCCTACCTTACTTGCCAAACTGAGTTGCTTTCTAAATCAAAGTTTAGAGATCAACAGCAAGTAGAATTACTGGATAAAATGAGCTAAGCAGTCTTAACCAGCTCCCTAACTCTGCTGTGCACGTTTGACACAAACATGCAAAGTTAAAAGATGAATGGGAGAGCCTCAATCTACAAGGCTGCACTCACAATGAACTCTGACTGCAAAACTGAAGCCTAATACAAGAAAATAAACTAGGTACATTCTTTGAGGACTAAATAAATCATTCGGCAGAAAACTTGATTCTCTAACTTCAGTGAACTTATTGTAATAAGAAGTGCTTTCCAATGTGAGCAAAAAACAGTCAAACCAGGATCAAAACAGCAAAATAAAGTTATGTGTTCAGTTAAAAGTGCAAGCCCGAATGAAGTGGCATGACTGCAATGACTTTACAAACTAGGGGTAGGAGATATTCAGCAGCTCCTGCAGTTTGGATCACAATGAAACTGCCATTACAAATCATCTGCAACAGAAAACTTCTGATCTTAGCAGGAAATTATTTGGAAATATAATAGAGGGTCTTCGGCAGCTTTTTATTTTAAATATTTATTCTGAATTAAACAACAGATAGGGGTTGGTCTAAGGGGGTTTCTCCCTCAAATACCCGATGAACCGATAATGTGGGAATTACTATTTTCTGCTTCATCAGATGTTATTGTGAATATTTGCATACAAAAAATTTACACACAGAATTCTAACCCAAGTTTTGCATAAAGGAGTATCATTCAAAAAAAAAAAAGCATAACAATGCTATTGTTATATTGCCTTTGTTACAGTAGCCAAATATGGACTAAAAACATTTCTGTCAATTAGATTTCAATTAAAAAATGTGGTTGGTTTTTTTTTTTGCAAAATCAGATATATCATTCTGGCTACAGCAACAATCAAGAATTGCACTGAGTACATCTCATAGAAGTACATTTTATCTGCTCACACCAGTCTCACAAGTATGATATGAATGCATAATATCCTGTGTTTTGGAAGGGGATGGTGACTATGCAAGCTGATCAAATTAAGAAAATGAGAAAATCATCCACTTAGAAACTTACTGTTTGAACTTTGTGGAAATCCAGGTAAGGAGGATGGACCATTCATTCCAGGCAGAAGAACAGGAGGAAGGCCAGGGAGTCCTGGATAAGCTGCTGGCAAACTGATACCATGAAGAGAACTGCTGTCCATCATGCCTGGCTGCTGTACTGTTAATCCTAACACATCAGTAGCCTTCTTTATGCGATCCAATTCTTGCTGTGCCATCAGCTGTCTAACTGTTGTAGGAGCTAAATAATCTTTCTCCCGATCTAGCTGACTTCCCACAGTTTCTCTCACTTTTGTAATATGTTGTTTGGAAAAGATATGATCTCTTATGGACAAACGCGCAGAATATTTCACACCACATAGTGAACATTCTGGCTTTGTCCCATCAGGTCCAGTCTGATTTATCATGAATGGTTTCCCTATGTTAATTTTGAATTTCTTTTCTTTAGCCCGGGCATTCTGAAACCAGACCTGGACCACGCGTTTGGGCAGGCCATTTCTGCTGAAGGTTACTCATTTGGGTTCGGAAACGTTTGTGGCCTGGCCGATCACTGTTTTTGGATTTAAAGGGATTGCTAGCTCCAAATGGGTTAGGTGAACTTGGATCAGCTATGCTTGAAGTTTCACTGCGGTCAGCATTGTCATCAGGGTCATCAGTAATGTAGTAACTTTGGTCATGATCACCATCTTTTTCACTGAAATGTATTGGCGGGCTTGTTAAGGAAAAGAGAAATTTGTCATCGGTATTCTCATTTGTGGGTGTAGTTGCAGCTTTTGGTATCATGTCATTCACAATTGGTTTTGGTTCTTTGGGAGGTGATGCAGGTTTTGCATCCCCTGAACTGCCAGTTGTGCTTTCCATTTCATTGTTCCCCTCATCCCCTGTTGTGGCATCACTAATTGCTGTATTAATTGATGAAGTCTCATCAAAATCAGTCTTGTTTTGATCATATCCAGAGTCAGCAGGAGGGGCATTCAAGTTTTCTATATCCTCACTAGACTCTGCTTTAAAAGAAGAAGGACTCAAGAGGTTCTTCGGTGACATTTCCGCAGTTTTGCTAACAGGGGTTGATACAGTGGAGGCTAATTCATTTTCACTTGATAATTCAGTTTTTGCTAACGGCAGTGTTGGGTAATCAAAAAATATGTACTTTTGTGGACTCTCTCCTCCATCTTCAGTTGATATCAAAGGACTTGGAGGCAAACTATAACCTGCCTGTTTCCCTTCATTCCAATGTCGAGAGCGAATGTGACTTTCTAAAGCTGATTTTGCTTTAAACAGAGCACGACAAAAAGGACACCTTTTATGGGACTGGGCTGGACCAACTGCACGGAATTGTCCCTTTCTTTCTCGGGCTCTTGTGTTCTGAAACCAGACTTGTACGACTCTCTTTTTCAGTCCCACTTCACGTGCAATGTGATCTAGCATCTTTCTGGTGGGGTTGGAATCTAGCAGGTACTTTTCATAGAGTATTTCCAGCTGCTCTGGAGTAATTGTAGTTCTTAAACGCTTATCACGATGTTGATCTTCTCCACCATTTCCTCCCTCTTTCTCGCTACAGTTATTATCTTCTTTATCATCTAGTTTTCGTTTCAGGGAACCAGAAACTGTAGCAGGGTGCGTCGTATGTGATGAGCCAGTTTGTGGTGGCATCTGAGCAAGAGAACTATTAAGTAACTGTCCAGTCATCAAAGGATTATTGGGGTCAAATATCATATAGGGCATATCCATTGGCCTTTCTAAAAACTGTGAGTGAAGAAATTGGTTTTGGGCTGCTAGGAAATGCATGTGCTGGTGCTCTTGCCAGAGTTCTAGAGTTGGAAAGGCAACTGTACACTGATCGCATTGGTACTGTAACAACTGAGGAGGTAGACTGTTCTGTAGAGAAGTCATTGAAATCGGTAAAGGACTGGAAGGAACAGGTGTGGTTTGTGATGCAGAAGGAGGTCTCCCTACTATCTGTGACTGTTTTTGTTGCTGTGGTTGAGAAGCTGAGGGCTGAGGGTCAGAAGAGGTTACTGGAGTAGACTGTACTGGTTTGGTGCTTTGGGAAGTTGTATCAGTTTGCTTAGAGACGGTTTCATTTTGTTTTGGTTTTTCTGTGGACTCTGGTTTAGGAGAAGCCTTCTCAGGTTCTGGTTTGGGCGATGGAATCAAAGGTGTACTAGAACCAGAGCCAGAGCTTGCTGCTGTGACTGCCAGGCTTTTTGATGAGTCATTTTGGCCAGAAACTGTGCAGTTCTTATACACTGTTTGATCAGAGGCATCCATAGAATCTTCAGTCTGGCTTTCATCTTGAGCATCATCATCTTCGTCTTTATAACACTGCTTCTTCTGGTGTGTAATCAAATCAAAGATCCTGGGAAAAACCACACTGCACTTTTTGCATTGATATTGCATGTTACTAGTTCGAATGTAACGCTCATTCGTCAGTTCCCTTTTCTCATTGTCTTTAGTTTCAGCTTGATTTTCATAACTTTTGCGAGCTTTTTGTCGTGCATTTTGGAACCACACGACAATAACTCGAGTAGGTAGGTTAAGTACAGTTGAAAGTTGTTCGATTTCATCATCCTTTGGATATGCATTTGTGTCAAAGAAGTCTTGGAGGACACGAAGCTGGTAGTCAGTAAACCGAGTCCTAGATGATCTCTTGCTGAAAGATGCATCAGACTTGTAAGGTTCTACAGCTGAAGGTTGAGGATCTATTCTGATATCTTCCAATACTGTTATGGGAGGGTTGCTGAAGTTATATGGAGAATCTTTATTTCTCTGTCGTTCTTTAAACAAAGTATTACGAAACCAGTGCTTGATAACTTTCTGTGAAAGACCAGATTTCTCAGCCATTTCTTGGATCTGCTCTTCACTTGGAGAGTTGTTAATATCAAAATAAGCCCGCAAGATTTTTAACTGTTCATCTGTGATTCTTGTACGTGGACGCTTGAACTGAGAGTGCCGCAGGAAATTGGGATCTAATCCCAGCTGCTGCTGACAAAGCTGGGTAAGATCTGCAGATAAAGTGTCCATTGGTGGCAACTGGAGGGCAAGCTGAGGAGGTAACGCAGGATGCTGCACTGGTTGCATCATAATTGGAGGAAAAAGCGGCAGATCAAGTGAAACAGGAAGCTGGACTTGAGGTGGGGCTGATGGTGGTGGTGGTGGAGGAGGCGGTGGTGGTGGTGGAGGAGGCGGTGGTGGAGGTGGCGGTGTTTCTGGAGAAGATGGAGAAATTGGATAAAGCTTGTCATACGCCTCCCTGTACTGTCGGGCAAACTTTTCTAATGCTCCATATGGAAAGAACTGTCCATGCACATGTTCTTGATGACTCTTCAGAATAAGAATGTTGGAAAAGAGCTTACTGCAGGTTCCACATTCCAGTTTGTCTGTGTTTTCACTTTCACCAGTCTTGCTTTTTTTCTGCACTTTTTGTCTGTTCTCATTGTATTGGATAACTAACTCAAACCCAAAGTTCTCCAACAAAGCCTTGGCTGCATTCCCCCTTGCTCCAGAAGCTATTCTGGGTGGTGGGATGGCTGGTTCTGAGGATTTTGGCTTCTTCATATCTTTGTTTTCTTTTAGTCCTTCACTCTCATTAGTAAATTCTTGCTTTGGCTTCTCTTGTTTCTCAGAAATTTCTTCTGACTCCTTATATGATGGCATATCCTTTATCAGCTGGCAGTCTGGACTTACTAAAGTATTTTGCTCTGCTTTCATCAGCTTGCCACTTTGCTGCTGCTGTTTTTGAGACTGAAGTTGGGGTTGGGTGGATTGATACTGTTGTGCTTGTTGCTGCAGTATCTGTAGCTGAGTTTGGCCAACATGGTGCTGCGTTTGTATCTGCTGCTTCAAATCTTCTAGCAGTGATCCTGTCATACCAGCCATTCCAGGCATACCGAATGTTGCAGAACCAGGCAAACCCAGATCTGGGCTTAAAGTAAATTCTGTCCCAGGTATATAGAAAGGGAAAAGGAACTGAGGCTGTTGAAATTGCAGCAATGCTTCTGGTGTCATTGGAAAGTGAGGCAAAAAGGCTGGGTTTAGAAACTGGGGTTGAAAGAATGCAGCTTGCTGTTGCAGTTCATGCTGTAGTTGCATTTGTAGTTGTGCTGGTGACTGGGGTGGGTGATGTGTAGGCTGAGCAGAAATTAATTCAGAAGCTTGCTTTTTGTTTAATTCTTTGGCATCTAAATGTGTTTCTTTGCTGTTAACTGCTGGTAAGCTCATAGATTCTAGCATTCCTTGGCTGGGGCTATTAACATTCCCTGCTACACTATTTCCACTACTTATATTACCACTTGGTTCTAATTTTGCAGCCCTTGCCTTTGTCTGATGAAGCACAGATCTCATATGGATTTCCAGTGTAGAGCTTTGGCTATATGCAACATTACAAATGCTGCACTTGTAGGGTTTGTTGTCAGTGCTGTTGTTGGTTTCTTGAGGGACAGGACTTGATGCTTCCTGCAAAACCTTTTTGAGTTTGTGTAGATGAGACACTGAGTTATAGTGGACCAAGAGAATGTTCTTTTGGGTGAAAGACTCTTTACACACTGTACACTTATATGGCCGAGATGGATCTAGAAATTTTTCCATAGTAAAATTTGGCCCTTTTCTAAAAGGCAAGGTCCGCTTTGGTTCTGAGCCCATATCATCTGGAATAGAGCTACTATCGCTTCCTACGGGACTTGCTTTACCTTCCTGGTCCATCTCATAATCTCTTTCTATTTCCTGTTCTATTGCATGATCATCTTGTGCCATATTTTCACTTTCTGCCCAGAGTTCACCATTGACAGGTAAAGATGCACACAGCTGCTGAAGTTCAGCTTCATTGAGTTCAGGGTGGCCTGCTTCCAAGTGTTTTTTTAAAGCCTGGAATGTACGAAAGCTACGTTGGCAAAGGCTGCACATGGTAGCCGCCCGAATAGCATGATACTGGGAATGTATCTGAAGTTTCTGCATAGTCTTAAAAGCCAAGCTACAATGATTACAACGGTACTTATAGACATGGCGGTCAGAAACAGAGAGCTGTTGCTTCTTCTGCTGTTCATTTAGCTGATCTGTCATTGAGTCAGTGGTCTTTATATCTTTACTGCTGCATTTATTCCAATCTGGTGTTTCAGTAGATTCCTTAGGTGGCTTCTGTTCCTCTGTCTTAATTTCTATTCCAGCTTTTGATTCGTCGATCCCAGGGGTACTTTTCTCATCCACAGGACTTTCACCTAGTTAAGAAGAGTTAAGTGTCTTTTACACATGTAGAAGAGAATAGCACATAGTATTAATGGTTTTTTTCACCATAAATTAAGAGAGGCACATGGCATGCCACATGTTGACCTACCAAAGTAAAGGAACACATCCTTGCCCGAGAGAATAAAGCAGACAGAACCAACAGGAGGGGTTAGAAATGGGGTCAAGAGGTAGGACAGGTCATTAGACAGGAAGAGGAAAGTGATCTGAGGAGAGAGGGAAGAGCATGCAGCAAAGCAGCTTCAAAGCACAGAATACAGTAAGTGTTCAGGATAAGAAACCCACCATCGGAAAGGCAGGCAGGATCATTTACTTATCATTCCCCATCGATGTTGGCAAAAGTGCCACTGTCTTTTAGGATTGGGTCATATTTGCTGGTTAAACAAGGAGGGCCTTATCTTCAAAGTGGCTAGGCCACTACCGCAAGCAATATACCCATGGCATACACGTGCATCCTAGAAGATCTGCATGGGTGCAGTCAGCCAAAGTCAGGCCCCTTGTTATTTTTCTCTTTTTATCTCTGTGGCTATATGCAAGCCAAAAATGATTCACTTTACTAAGAAAAAAGTTATTTCTAAATTTCTAAATTGCCCATACCTAGTTTTTACATGACTGGGCCTTTTCTGGCATACCTGGATATTTCCCAGATCCCTCAGCTGTAATGGTTGCAGGTGTGTCACGTTCAGATTTCTCTGAAGCAGCTGCTGGTAACAGCATACTGTTGGGCATCATGACATCTGGTACAGGAACCTTTGAAAACCAAGAACACAGTATTATAATAGGAAAAGTCATGCTATTTAATACTATACAACAGTATGAAATTATAGTTGAAAAGATCCACCATATCTGAATCAAAGACTGCCAGTACTAAGCCAAGATCTTGATTCAGTCCTTGATAATAATTTCTGATAGACCACAAATCCAGACCATTTGGTGTCCCTTGGTAGAGAATCAGCTCAAAATAATACACAATAAGTTGATGCTATAGAGCTACATACGCTCAATATTTTATTGATCTCATTGTCACCACAAAGAAGGTATTGCTGGCTATCTCAGGCTGGTCAGATTTATCAGGGGAATTCTCGGACATCCTCCAAAGACAGAGATCGTGTTGAGATATGGTTACCGGTCAGTTCTTGACTAAGGGCATTCCCACTTTACTTCACCTGTATTGTTTTTTAAGCAAATACTGGACCTTCCATGAGCTTTGAAAGAAAATTATAAAATTATTTACACACAGAAATAGCAATTTATTTCCTTTTAAAATAAGATTTTTCTTTTTCTTTTCTTCATTTGCTTATGTATCTCCTTCAGACTGCTTTATCTGTTGTGTTATGGTTTCAAATTATAGACAGAAATCTTTGAAGGCTGTACTATTATAGGTGCCTGATAGTACTCAGTTTAGTTAAGTTGACATGAATACTTCTTCAACACTTCCTGTTTTCCTTTTGCTTAGCTCGTTAAAACATGCTCTTATCTGAAATAAAGGATTGTCTGGAGGTTCTGACTAAGGCTTAGTAGGACTGGGTTCAAACTTCTGCGCTGCCAGATTCTGTATAAATGACCTTGGGTAAATCAGTCGAGACTGTGCTGTGGCTCCTCATCTCTAACATAAGGATAGTACTTCCTTACCTCATACAGAGGTAACAAGAATATCCATAGGAGAGACTTCTGGGTGGTACATTACTATAATAATGGAAGCTACATACACTACTAGGTATGAGTAGAAATACCTTTTTGTTCCTTTTTAACAGTTTAACAAATTATTTTAAACCTTTATTAGGATACATAAAAGTTGCATATATATGTATCTATGCATGTATTTATACCAAATGCTTATTGGAATATATATTCTAGACATATTTCAAAAAGCCCTGGGCTTAGTATATTTGTACTTTAAATATGGCATTAGGAGCATCCTCTCAGAGGACTAGTGGCTTTGATTATGTTTGGGAGGAAAGGACTTTTAAAAAAAATAATGTAGATAACTGTAAACGTCTCAGAGAAGAAAAATTTGCTATACATGGTATTTATTTTGTCACCAGACAGTTCAGATATGGACAGAGCATATTAGTGTTAGCAACTAGGACAATTTAGATGATGCAGATTATGTTTTGCAATCTCTTTTTCTGTCAAGCAACCTTTCTTTTTTTTTCCTCTCAGATACAGCGAGACAACTTCCCAGCACCTGGAGAAGAGAGGAGAGGAGAGCAGGGGAGGGAAGAGAAGAGGAGGAGACGGGATGACGGGAGAGGTTTCAAAGTTGTCTCATTATCAGTATAGAGAGAATCATGGAGAACTTGAGAAGAAAACTAGTAATCCTCAGTAGGGAGGGTTTTTTTTCCACATTTTTCTAGTTTCCTAAAAAGGTCAGGGAAAGTTAAATTTCTATGGCATTTTCCTTGTGATGGAACAAAATTACACTGTATGGTAACCTGTAGTTAGTAGAAAACCAAGGAAAAGAAAAGAAAATTTTAAACCGCTTTTTTGGATCCCCAATTCCATATTCGCTCATCAGCACTAGGCACAAGGAACCTTAGATCTTCAGTCAAGAGCTCTTTCAATTCTTTCTTATTTTTTGACACTTTGGAATGAGGTGGTAGGCCTACAACCACAACCGTATAAATGAAGGAGGAGTCTATGAATACAGAAACAGATCCTTAAGAAAGTGGATCCTTGAGATTTCTAAATGCATTTCCATCTGAAAAGGCAAGACAACCAGAATTGGGGAGTCTTAGGAGGTCTGTTTTCTAAATGAATCTATGATGTAATAATGAATACTTTCTAGACCTGATTGTTTCTTTGCTGACATTGTTTTGAATGGTGCTGGGTCATTATTTTTCACAGAAATTTATTATTTTGATATGATTTGTGCAATTTTGCAGTGAAGAACGGGATTTCCCTGGTGAGGCTGGAATGTGGCTCATCCTCCACATAGAGTGTGCTGGTTATAACACTCATCCCAATCACGGAGAAGACAGTTCAAGTACCTGCCTCATCCAGGGTAGGTACTAGAAATCAGATATTCCATATCCTAAAGAACTGACCTAACTGGATTGTTACCTATTCTTGGACTTGCCTTCTTGTTTCATACTCACATTTTATTCACCAAAAACCTAAAGGGTCTTTTATGCAGAGTCAGAAAGTAAGAAGCAGGACATTCTGTACAATAAGATAATCATGTTCTCCAGTTAGCACCACTACTGATATTTTACGGTGAATTTCATGTAATATAATGCACGTACAGCCTAGCTATCCACAGGAATTCTTCTATGTTTGGGAACTACATTCTACAGGGAACTCCTGTTATTTTACAAACAGGAGTCACAATACCTCTGAGACCTGGATATTATTAGATCCAATTTGCAGACATGCACTGAGAGACATTGACAGGCTTGATTTTTCCAAGGTTAACATCAATGAGGAGCTACATGTTTTCAGCATCTTTGAAATCCACCTTCAGTCATTTTCTCAAGAGACATCAGTCACTGGATAATCTGGCAACAGAACCTAAGAGTCCTGACCCACTCTCCTCCTCGGGCTACCTGAAGACTATATCACAATAAATACATTGCCCAGAGACCTGAGTACATTTCTGTAGCATGTGCGTCAGTATTTGGAACACTTACTGTCATAAGCAGTTTCTCCACACAGTCAGGGGACACACTGTGCAAATGGGTCAAATGAAGCTGGAGATGCATTTTGTTGCTGAGGACATCCTGGCAGAGGGGGCAGCAGATGACAGGTTGCATTGAATGTTGTGACAGAACGTGCATCTGGATACGGTTTGGGTCCCTACTATTGTAGTTACAATAAGGACATTGATAAAACTGAAAAAAATCAAATTAAGATGCAGGCTATTAGTCACTGTGCTTTTTATAACTTGCTGATATTGCTTTTTTAACAGCATATCATCTCTGTTTCATTCTTGAGTTATTTGAAATATTTCTAGAATGCAATTAAATTGTTACATTTTCCTTTACCTGCTCATGACAAAATTTATTGTCCTCTGGAGTCTTTGATTTTTTAGCTGTACCATCCTCTTCTTTTGCCAGAAGAAGCTGTTGTGCCCCTACCACAGTGTTCACTTTTGGTTCCTTCTCTGGTGTAACTATTCCTGTTCCGAAAACATAATTTTTAAGAACATGTTTTAAACTGTTAAATATCCTGGTTTACAAAAAGGCTGTGATTCCAAAGGTCTGTATTGTCTTGAGGGTTTTTTTTTTTTTTTTTTTGAGTCCTGAGAAAATATATAGTTGACTAAAACAACTCTGGAAAGCACAAAGGTGAAAATACACTTTTATCCTTGATGGAAACTCTGTAAATACATTAAAAAGTGGACTCTTCTCTATTGTTTAGATAACCTTAGGTTGCCTTTAAAGATTAATCCATAATATGCTTTCTTTGGCAGCTTGGTATGAATTTGTGTACTACATTAAAATAAATCAGCTTTTGCTTAACAATCCTGTTTTCCAAAATAATTAATTTGCTGCTGTTTAATTACCCTCTCTCTTTTCTAAACTGTCTAAGCAATATGATTATTGTGCTGTTTTGATAACTCCTGCCTGGTTACAATTCTGAAGCTAAATATAGCGAGGCTTTAAAAGAAATACTGTGGAGAATAGGATTTCAGAGCTAACTTAATATTAATTATATACAAAGATCAGTCATTTGGGACTGCCTTAGATGTTTACACTGTGAATTTTTATAGTCTGGCATTTGTGATCAAAACCAGAATATAATTGTTTTCTATAGATAGTTCTACTATTAAGTATTAAATACTATATTTAATATTATGCCTGAACTAGCTGTGTAATGTGGCCCAGTCTTGCACACATCAAAGAAAAGAGTGCAATTCTAATTTCCCAGTCCATCAGAAAATTCTTTCCAGCGTCAATTTGCCAGATAATCTCTTCTGCTAGGCTGGATATTACAAGAGCATTGGGTAGGCATGTCACATACATCTCACGACAAACACAAAACCTCATTTACCAACCATTCCAATCTCATCATAGTGAGGCATCATCTGACCTTTTTTCTGCTGTTTATTATGAGTATTTCTAATTTTAACTTTCAATTTTCACCATCTTCCAGTCAATTTGCAACTAAATTATTTCCAGGGTGAGGACACTATCACTGGACACTGGGTGCAAATACATCTTGAAATGCAATGAAGCTAAACCATTGATTGCTATCAGACTCAACGTAAATATATAGTCCGACGGTAATCTGATTGTATGCTGTGCATGAAGATTTATCTTGATGTTTTTCAATCCACATAAGGTTCATATAAATGAGCAAATTGCACCTCATTGCACAATAACCTAGGATTAATTTTAAAATAAGGTCATGGATGTTTCGGCAACAAAGTAAACATGAACAAAGAAAATACTTGTCTTTTTCTGTAGACAAATCCAAGAACTTATAATTCTTACTATTTTCATATAGAATTTGTGCAATATTTGATATTGAAAGAGAAACATTAAAGAGAAGTAAAATAACAGAACTGTTTTCAAGGTAAATACCAAATCCTCATGGTGCAATAATAAACAACTGAAAACTGAATCATACAGGCACAATTTCTGAAGGGAATTTTAAAAAAAAAAGTAAACGTATTTTATGACTCACACATTAATGATGATTTCCCCACACATTGTTTTTCATTCCTAAGTTGCTAATTATTTCTTTTGGTGTAATTTAGACCAGTAATTTAAGCATGTTCTTCATCAAATTGAAGTTTATTCCTGCCGTATTTCCCTACTTTTAATGACCAATTTGTCGACATCACTTTAATATCTGAACAAGCTGCTTTCTAAAGCCTCACTGAATTTTTACATGCTTGGGAACTGATCCTGGAGGCCTCGTTTAGAGGCTGAGTCCAAGCTTTGCAGATGGCCTGAAGGACTGGCAATGCTTAAAGGCAAAATCTACATGATGCAGTCACATAAGACATCATTTTATTACTCACTTTGGCTTATGATAATACAGTACTCCCTGGCCTATCTGTATTTACTTGTCAATACACCATTATTTTTTAAATGTCTTCACTGTGAGAATTATGGGAAATAAAAAAGTGACATACCATATTAACAGAGCAAGGTTTCTTCTCAGGTTTTATAAGCATATGTTCAAATTATTAACCTCTCTTCATTTCCAACTGTGAAAAATGTCTAACAGTTGACTACTGTTTCTTACCTTTATCATATGTCACTTTTAAAATGTTCATTTTTAAAGACAAATGGGCCAGAATCTGAGCCGGTGTAAACAGACACTGTTCTACAGAAAGCTGACTTCGAAAACCCAATTAAAACAATTCCACCTTCTCTTCCCCTTATCATGCTAGATTGTTCTCAACAGGTTGTTACAGAAATTAGGATCCAAATTCTGCTCCAAAATTCAGTTGTGAAAATGCATTTAACTGTGTTTTGGCAGTGTTAGTTAACTGCTAGTGAAATTTAGCTTAGAGTGCAATCTGTGTGTGCCTGGGCGCACACAATGTTAATATTACATGTCGTCTTCCACCACAGGATGGAATAACTTAATTACTTCAAAGGGCTTGTAATAATCATGAAACACATAGTTCTTGTTTCTATAAAAACAAGGGGGATTTTTGGTTAAATTTTCTTTTGCGGTTAATACAATAAAACCATAGATTTATAAAACACTGTGCTGGGGTCAATAAATGCACAACAAAGCACAGCTTTTTACTATGTTTACTATGATATTTATATGAACTGTTGAAATTTACAGAGGCTTTGTTGTTTTTGTTGTTGTTGCTCTGGATTCATTCAACCTCAAGCACTGTTACTTAAACAGCTGAAGTTACATCTGGCCTATAGTAAAGTAACCGAGTCCGTGACTTATGGTAAGCTTTGCAAAAAAAAAAAAGGGGGGGCTGGTTCTTCCCTCTGGCGTGGGGACGCCACTCGCTTCTGCATGTGGTGAGGACCAAACCTCCCAAGCCAGATTTTACGTGCCAAAACCAAAGGAGATCAGCTCCTTACGCAAGGAAATGGTCCAGCTATTACAACTCAGTGCCTCATCGTGCTATATCAACTTTCTGATTTCCATCTTAAATTCACTGTTTTAAGGAGCTTCCTGTAGGGAGGTTGAATAAGGTTACAGTCGTATAGGAAGGGTGTTGAAGGAGGAGGGAAAG